CACTCCAATTCAAGTGCATCTCTCGAGCTACAGTTTTGAACGACCATGACCATGCTGGAAAACCATGTGCTGTGCGAGCTTGCCGCTGGAAACCGTGGGGCTTCCGTATCTTTGATTCGACCATGGGCTATCCTGGGGAAGGTCCTGGCCAGTTGTGGTCCATTCTTTCCTCCAACATTGGGAGCTTCTTTAAAGATGACACCTGGAAGGGCTGGAACGACAGTGTGGTGTGCCTTCAGGAAACTCGTATAGGTCGCAACAATTTTCGGAATGCCTCCAAGTCGGCGTGTGCTGCTGGTAAGAACCTGATCCTTGGGGACCTGCTTCCGGGTTTGTTTAGGTCTGATGGTAGCGGCTCTACCTCCCATGGTGGTGTTGCCATGCTTGCACCTAGTACTATCTCCTCCCCTTTTGAGGAGAGTCAGGACACTACAGGACTTTTCAAAGGCCTCTTTCATTCTAAGCGGGTCCAAGCTGTTTGGCACCAAGTTCAGCCCTCGTTGAAGATCTTGATCTTTAACATCTACGCTAAGTCTGGCGCTTCTGCTGATCATGATATCCTGCATTTCAATGATCGTCTTCTTGGTGACGTTTTCCAGGTTGCAGCCCAATTTGGCAATATCCCGGTTTTGGTGGTTGGCGATTTCCAGCTCCCACCCCTCCAATATCCGTCAGTCGCTGCTGCCACGCATTTTGCTAATTGGTTTGATCCACTTTCTACCCACCTTGAAGACGGTTCCCTCGATAGGCCGATTACATATAGTCGCGATTGCACCTTCACTGCCTTTGGTGAGCATTGTTCCTCTATCGATGGGATGCTTTTGAACCAAGTTGCGTTCTCTTGTCTGACGGACATTTGCACGGTCGACTGGTTCTCCAAGCAACATCGTCCGGTTCGTGCGACCTTTCATTGGGATGTCATTTTTCATGTTGGGCCTGTTCATGTTAAGTTCGCCCAGCTTGATATTTCCCAAGTTGATAAACCGTCCTGCCCCAAAGATTACCAGCCCTCCCTGCAGTGTTGGGATGCGAACCTTGAAGCTAACTTCATCAATTCCACTCCGGAAGAGCTTTGGTGTGACATCAACCAATTTGCTGTGACTACACTTCTTGAGTCTGGTGCGACTTGGAAACCCGGTATTCACAAACGCGCTGTTGCTCCTGTTTTTAGATCCAAGCAATACTGCCCAGGGCAACAAAATTCAGGATCGGCTACTACTCTGCGCCTTTCCTGGCTTTATAATGCTCGTGCCAAGGTTTTTGACATCCAAGCTAAGGTTGCCAAGAGTAGGCTTTCAGATCAAGAGTGTGATATTCTGCATAATGCTCTTGCCAAGTTGACTAGACTCTTGCGGAACCTCAAAGCCCCCTTTGACTTTCGAGGCTCTCGCTGCCCTCACTTGTTGACTTTGCATGAGTGCCACCTTTGGCTTCAAGTTGAGATCGCACAAACAGAGAGCAATTTGAAGTCAGCCAGAATCCGTGCATGGCGGGAGAAAATTCAGCACTCAGCCACTTCTGACCGTGCCTACCTTTTCCATCACCTCAAGAATAAAGCGCAAGATCAACCCAACAACCTTGTTATTGATGATTGTGGGCATATCATTTACCAGCCTGATAAAGCCCTCAATGCTATCAACAACCAATGGGATGACATTTTTGCTTCTAATATTGGTCACGAAGACCCAGTTGAAGTCTTGCGGGTCCTTTGGCCGTACCTCTCGCGTGAGAATAAGCCATGGACTCCGCCAGCCCTCACAGGGGCCGATATCTTTGAGACCCTTCAGAGGCGCCACCCCAATGCAGCGCCTGGGCTTGATGGATGGCGGACCACTGAACTGCAACGATTCCCTCTTGCTCTGTGTGATTTGATTGCTGCCTTCTTTCGCCGCCTCGAACAGCAGGTTGACCATTCGCTCCCAAGAGCCTTGACTGAGGCCAAGTTAGTTATTCTCAATAAGCCAGGGCCATCCTCCCCCCTGAACAAGCGGCTGATTACTATCTTGCCGCCTCTTTTACTAGCATACACGGGCGCTCGCTTTCGTCAAGCCAAGGAGTGGCAAGCAACTATCATGCCGCCTTCTATTGTGGGTGGCATAGCGGGCCGGCATATGACTGATATTCCCGCCACCCTGAGACTTGATCTTGATGAAGCTGAGATGCAAAGTGAAACGGTTGCTGGTCTTAAACTCGATAAAAGTAAGTGTTTTGATCGTATTGTCCCTGCTTTCGTTGCCATCATTTTGCTTGCCATTGGTTGTCCTCAGCATGTGGTCAGCATTTTTGTTCGCCAATATGCAGGGCTGCGCAAACACTTGTCTTATAGAGGTTGGACGGCCTCCATTCCTACCACTTCACCAAATGGGGTTGCACAGGGTTGCTCCTTTTCGCTGATTGCTATTAATGCCTACATGCTCTCGTGGGTTGCTTTCTTGAAGGACATCCCCCATTTGTCATGTCGCATTTACATTGATGACATTTATTTGTGGGCAAAAATCCAACATGTCGCCAACCTTCAAACGGCACTTGAAGTCACCAAGCTTTGGGATGCCCTTGTTGGTCAAAAACTCAATGCTGGTAAATCGGTTGCTTGGGCTTCGAATTCGACGGGTCGGAAATGCATTCGTTTGTCTTTCCCTGATTTTATGCTTCAGGAAACTATTGATGTGCTTGGTTCTAAAATCTATACTTCGCAGCGCATCGCTTTTGACTTTCCTGAGGAGAAGACCCATAAAATCGTCCTTGACATTCGTAACATTGGGGCCCTCCCGTTACCTCGCAAAATCAAGGCACAACTCCTTGGAGCTAAAGTCATTCCTCAATGCAGCTTTGCCTCACACTTGTCTAAGGTCCCTAAAGCTGCCCTTGACAAAATTCAAGCTGAAATCACCCAAGTCTTGTGGGGCAATCGACCTCACTGGAGGGCTAAACACTTGGTCCTTGGCTTTCTTGCACCGCCACACCGTGTTGATCCATACTTGGCTAGGGCCTTCTGTGCCATTGTTGATTTTCTGCGCTTTGTCCACCACAATCCTGACGTTTTAGCTAGATGCCGTCGGTTGGCCCACCAGCCTAACTCGGGCAGGTTTTCCCTCCTTGTAGGCATTCGCCAGGCATGCCATGCATTTGGTATCACCATTGATGATCAGCTTCATTTGCACCTCTTTGGTCACCTTGATCTCAACTTACAAGATCTTTCAGTTCGTGACATTGCGCCGTTGTTGAAACAGCTTGCAGTTCAGGCACACTATGTTCACTCAGCCAGCCTTAATCGTAAGGATTTTGCCAAACCGGATGGATTTGTAGATCTTTTTCACTCCAAGCTCTTTGGGACCCAGAAAGGAGTTTGCGATTCGGTTTCACCCCCGTTGCTTGCTCACTTTGAAGCACAACTTGTTGGGTGTACGATCACCAACGATCGTAGATTTGCTGCCAAGTTTTCGGATTCCCCGCTGTGCCGTTTTTGTGAAACTGAAAAAGAATCACTTGTGCACATTTTGCAATGTCCTCAAGCAAGGCTGCAATTTCCTCCAGGTCCGGGTCATGAGTTTGGGCCGAATTTTCGACTACTTGGCATTGCGGAACACCCTTTTGCTATCATCCGACATCGGCTCCACGTTGACCGTGCTGATGCACTTCCAGTTCAGATCTTTCAAAGACCTGATGATTTGCAATCCCTGTGGTCTGATGGCTCCGTGCTTTGGGGTGAGGTCTTCCCACTTACGGCAGCAGGTTATGCCATCATTGACGAGGAGGGGAAGGTGTTTCATGCTGGAACAGTTTCTCACCTGTGCCTTTCTTCCTATACTGCAGAATTGTGGGCAGTCATAGTTGCTACCTTGAAGTCCGACTGCAAACTTCATATTTACAGCGACTGCAAGGAAGTTGTTTGTCAAGTTAACCATATGGTTCAAACTGGCAATATTCCCACGAACTGCCTGCACATTGAATGGTGGAAGGTGTTGCACAAAGTCATAGTTGCCAGGAGTCTGCTGACTAGTGGACCTGTTTTGCTCTTGACGTGGATTCCTTCGCATATTGGTGATGATCTACCTGTTTCAGCGATACCTGCTGCTGTGATCTGTGCAGCAGGCACAACACGAAAGCACATCGAACTGAATCGGCTTGCAGATACAGTTGCCAAGAGGTTTGCCCACTCCCGGTGTACTATTGCGGCTGAAGATAAGGGTATTTTTCAAGCAGCAATACTTCAGAAGCAACGCACCCTTACGGACTTGAACCGCTTTATTGGCTTTGAGTGTTCTGATACATTTACAGACACGCCCATGCGACAAAGTGCCGTCTCGGAGATTGACTTCCACACCATCTACCCGGGTCTTGCGTGGAACCACAATGAAGCTGATTTTTCTTTTTCATGGAAGCCGGAGGATTCAAGCTGCCCTCCCAAGCTAGATCTCTCTGCTTCTGATTGGCAAGTCTTTGTCAATTTTGGAAAGACGCTTAAGTGGTTTCTCGCTGACCATGTGATGTGCACTTATCAGGAATTGGCCTTTCTGTTTGTCATCCGAGGACATCATTTTAGATGCCGTGAAGCACACTTTCAAGAACTTGTCCTTAAGTTGCGTAGATGCTGTGTTGTGCTCTCAAAGACGCACAATGCACTTCCTGGGACACCAACAGCCAGGGCAACGAAATGCATTGGCAAAGTGTTGCCTCAGGGTGCACTTGTTGGTGCTCTCCCTTTTTTCGCCCCTGGCGAACTTTTCAAATTCTGCCGTGTGTTGGCCGGTGGGGCCGGCCGCTCGGCTGATTCTTGGTCGTTCCCTGTCGAACGTTTTCTGTAGCTCACCTTAATTTGGCTCCGTTGTGCATTCACTGATCTGTGAGTCGTGGATGCGACTTTCCTACTCGACCGGTTTGTCTGCGTGTGAACAGAATAGACTACTGGGGAGGTCAACCTACTCTGGTTTGGGGCTCCGGGTTTTGACCCACAGCCATATCCCTGAGATTGTTAGCCTCTCTCCTTGCATGAAAGAGGCCGCTTAATGCACGGGTTCGTCGAGTGAATGCTCATAGGCACAGTGGGCAGAATGCCCTGGGATTGTAGTTCAAAGAGTGCCTCACAGTTCGGCTGTTATGCGGTCATGATTCAAACACCCAACCCATAGTAAGTTTTCACTGGGACAATGATGCGAATCCAAAAATTATGAAAGGCAGCATGTTCGTTTCACAATGAAGCCAAACTGAGAGATGTTAGATGCTCATTTGTGTGTCGCGGCGAAGAGTCACAAAACGGGTGGTTCCCAAAACAGGTTGGAAGCTGCCCCTTTTCCTGCACAAGTCACAAGACGATAAACAAACCATACCTACAGGTCAGCCTGGAAGTTAGTTCAGGTCATCAAGTCATGCATGGTTTGTTGTGCCCTTGCTTGCTTCACTGTAGGCTCTTTGCTGTGATGAGCCCTCCAGAATCCCAGCCTGTGCTTGCTCTTCACTGGCACAGGCATCAAAAATGGAGATGTAGGTGAAAGCACTCTGGTCAAAGATTCCGCCTCAGAACCGCTCTCCTCCCACGGAGAAGAGCTCCAAAAGCCCAAGCGCCCCCGAGCCACACAACGTCAAAAAACTCCTCAGGCAAAGCACCCAGCCCAACATCTCTGGTATTGTCGTAGGACCTTGGACACGAGGTTGGCGGCGCTTTGGTTCGGGATCTTCTCAGCCCTGGGACCTGTCAGCCTGTCAGTCCCAAAAGTTGGATCCCATCAAACCGCCACCCCCCCCAAAAAAAAGAAAGAAGAACACAATCAAACATCAAAGAGTCAAAAAAGAGTCCTGATAGCTCTACCAGTGGGCCATTCCACCGTCCATTCGCTTCCAGCACGTGATTCCAAGTGATTCGGCCAAGGGGCCATCCACCGTCCATTCCTTGGAAGCCTCTCGTCCATTCCTTGACCTGTTCCACCTTGATGGAAGACTTCGGGAGCTTTCGGTACGTCAAACCGTCTTCTTGGTGGAAGTTCCTGGGCGCTCGACTCGGACTAACCCACCCCCCCCACACCATGAATCAACACTTTCAATTCGACAGACTTAGCAGAGAGTCCATCCCGATCTGCTGTCATCCTGTCCAATAGTGCCCGCACAAAACAACGGTGCTGTACAGAGGCACTGCACGCACCGCGGAGAGAAATTGGAAAGACCAAACCTCCCCTCCCTCCCTTCCCTGGGCTGTCAGATGCTGGGAGTCGGATCTTCAGAATTCCAGAATGAGCTCTTCAGTAGGCCAGGATCTTCGATCAACAGTACCTTTCAGAGCGTCTGTTTGGGATATTATGTAATTATGCCAGCATAGACCCCAAACAATTTTCAGCATTATTGTTTGGCGTCAACTCCTTGAATTCCAACGTTGGTGGCGTCTGCGTTGGGAATGGCATGTAAACAAAGAAATGTACAAAACATGAGAAAACAATAGTTCCCGATTGTCGAGGTCACAGGTGCAAACACGAAGGGATAGATTACGTGAGAAAATCCGAGGATGATAGATATCAAACGCTGTATCCCTGTTGCAGTCATAGCAACACGAAAACATACCGAACAAGGCAGTGGCAAAAGGGAAATCGGCGCGGCCAAACAGGACATACAGACCCGGACAAGTGGAGAAGACCAGGCCTGGACAAGGCGGTGCAGCCAACAGACCTACCTGGACAAGGAAAATGCAGGGCCTACGGCGTAGCCAAGCCGGACACACAGACCCAGACAAGGCAAGGCCCGGACGGACACCACTAAACTGTTTGGGGAACAAGGGGAGGACACAGCGCGGCCAGAGGACAACAGGAGGACAAGAACTGGGTTTAGTGATGTCTTTTCTCAGAAGAACACAGGGTTCGCAAGAGTAGCAGGAGGAGGACAAAAGGAGGCGAGCGCGGCCGGAGGTCTTGCGAGAGAGTTTGTGAAGGGCCATCAGGCCATCAGGACAAAAGGGTCCTTACAAGAAAGCAAGCTGCCAAGCTGTCTGTCCATTCTGCCAGCATCACTCGCGGCCTTCGTATCGTATCAAGTCCAGTCAACCCAAAGAGATGTCATGGAGAGGTGGGCGGCATGCGCAGCAGCGAAATCTCAAGGATCCAAAGGCCAAGGAGCCGAAGAAAGAGAAGAAGGGCAAGGACAAAGCCAAGACAGTCGTGCTCTTCGGCCCTTCTTATTTGGAGAAAATTAAAGCACACTTGGTGTGAAACTGTACACGTTTAGTGAATACAACTGAAGGGCTGCCTTGGCAGCTTCATCTGCCTTGAAGATATGGTAGGCACAAAACCAAGCCGTACCCTCAAGCTCTTCGAAGTCTAAATGAGCTTTAACATTCACGATCTCCAGCTGAGTCGACCGAGAGAGGCTAAGGGCTTCCCAGGAAAGTACCCAGAGATCGTGTTCCGCCTGTTGAAACAAAGGGCAAGCCGGGCAAGCCTTCATTCTAAGACAAGACATCAAGTAATTTGCACCAGCAACAAAAGCTTGATTATCACTATGACTACGGGAGCTCGAGAAATAAATAGACAAACCAACAATAAGCCAGCGAAAATTTCAGATCCATAAATGGGTTGATTTGCTCCAGGTAAAATGGCCTGAAGAGCAATCTGATTCTCACCCGTGAGTTCTAATGTTGGTCCCATTGGTGGGAACCTCTACAGGTATATTCCCAAAGCCGCCAGCTGATCGGGAATGCACGTAAACAAAACATGTTTGAAAACAATAGTTCCTGATGCCGGGGTCACATAAAAAAGGATATATGTCATGAGATAATCCGGGCGTCGCTGTTCCATTAATCATAGTCACACGAAAACATAGCATGGCCAAGTACGGGACAAAGGCCCGGACAAGGCGGTGATAAAAGGGCTTACAACGTGGACAAGCAGAACAGACAGACATGGACGAGGCGGCCAACCACACACGGACCCGCACAAGGCGGCGCGGCCAACAGACCCGGACAAACTGGACTAGACAAGGACAACATAAGCTGCTTTGGAAACAAGAGGAGGACAGCAGGAGGACATAAGCACAGGGTTTGCAAGCGTGGCACAAGGACAGGAGGCCAGCAGGAGGACAAGAGAAGGACACACAACTGGAGGAGAACAGGAGGACAACACCTGGACGGAGGGTTCAGGGGCGCGGCCAGAGACGTAAACCCCAACAGCAAACTGTTTGGGTAAAAGTGTTGCCCTGACACCTGAATGGCAGATCGCCCACGAATTTAACTTGTGAAATCTCGCCGTGTCAAGTATAAAGATCTTCAGAGCTTGATTAGCTGGATTCTGATGATTCTGGATACCGGCATATTAATCACAAGAAAACTTTTACGTTCCCTTACAAAGAAGGCAGATGCTGCCAACTACACCCTGTTCAGCATGTTCAGAACGTCCTGATCTACTCTGCCGCCACTCGTGCCTTCAAATCGCTCACACTTCTGGATTTCGCCGCTGGCAGCTTCCTGACAAGTCCAGTCAGCCCGGACAGCCTCCAGCCCGGCGACCAAACAAACACAGAACAAAACAAACAGTTCGTGTTGGTGTTGATGTTGATGTTGTTGCTCAACTGTTCCCGGGCCAGTTTCATACTCACAAAGCGCATGCAAGAACGAAATGGTTCCAGCCAGAAAATGTGCAAATGTCATAGCTACACTGGACCCTCCCACGGTCGTCCTCACCATGCTGAAGAAGGTGCTCCTGAAGCGGAAAGAGTCACATCTTTAGCATGTCAGTTGCAGTTTCAAGTTCTACTGCTGTCGCAACACGCAAAGCAAATCAGGAATCTGGGAAATTGGTTAAATGTTCATCGTGTACATATATATATATATATGTATACCTGAGAAGGGAGGGGACGAAAGCCGGCCACCGTGAAAGATATCAATATGGTTATGCGGGGTGAGTGCGAGAGCCCTGGTGAGCTCCCCGCCTCTTTTCCTATCACCTCCTCCCCGCTATACCCACTTTGTACATGAACTCCCACTGCATATGGGGTGCCCTTTTGCATCTGGTCAACAGGCCTCTTCACCATAAAAAAGGGGCACCCCCAAGCAATTCAAAGTTTACCCGCTGCATTTTGCTCCTAAAAAGTGCACTCCCAAGCAATTCAAAGTTTACCCGCTGCATTTTGCTCCTAAAAAGTGCACTCCCAAGCAATTCAAAGCTTACCCGCTGCATTTTGCTCCTAAAAAGTGCACTCCCAAGCAATTCAAAGTTTACCCGCTGCATTTTGCTCCTAAAAAGCGCACTCCCAAGCAATTCAAAGCTTACCCGCTGCATTTTGCTCCTAAAAAGTGCACTCCCAAGCAATTCAAAGCTTACCCGCTGCATTTTGCTCCTAAAAAGTGCACTCCCAAGCAATTCAAAGCTTACCCGCTGCATTTTGCTCCTAAAAAGTGCACTCCCAAGCAATTCAAACCTTGCCCGCTGCATGTTGTTCTCTTTCCTGCCCTCAACGGACCACAGCATTACATGAACTCGCACCCCATATGGGTGCCCTTTTGCGTATAGTTGACCGGCGTCTTCACAATTAAAACGGACACCCCCAAGCAACTCTAACATTTCTTGCAAGCCCCCTTTTCCTACCACGTCCTCCTACGCTATGCCTGTCTTCCACCTTCCCCACAGCAGTCTGGTTCCTCACTGATCACACAATGTCTTAAGAGACACACACACACCTCCCTTTCACCCCTGGTTGAACACTACTTCACTGGCCATGAGAGGCGCGCATGTCCCCATCTGGAAGAGTTCCAACCACTGTTCGCATCCCGTTGTCCCCTCTTTCCTATCATTGACATGAACTCCCACCCCTAGTAAAAACAGTTTACATGGCCTCCTGAGCCGTCGTGATGCTGATGATGCACTCTTCGCAGTCAATTACACCACCGGCATCACAACACCCCAAAAACCATTCATTTTTCATTACCCCGCCTCCTTTTTTTCGCTCTCCCCCACCAGGCTCTGGGTCAGCCTCTCCGAGATTGGGCACCTCGCAACCACCCCCCCACACCCCCTTTAACTCACTTCGTTCGCTCCTTCCCCCCGCCAAATTTCACTGTGCTGGGCTGCTTCCCTGTATCCGGAACCCTGGGCACAACGGTAAAGCGCAAGGACGTGTGCTTCAGGTGGTTGCTCCCTGCAAACAACTCCAACGCCAACCATTAATGTAGACTCACTCACACCAACTGGTCCCAGCATCTGCGCAGTACCCTCAAGAAAGGAGCTCAAAAAGATCACCTCAGCCGCTCAAGACACGGGGACACACGACATGACCTCAATCCCTCCCAACCCAAAAAAGAGAAAACAATTTTTGCTGTGGGGGTCCTACATCTATTGAAAAATCGTGACGCAAACAGGCTGAGACATGTACCATGGAGCGTTGATCCTCGGGTTTCAGATGGCAGTCGATGATCTCAGAATCCCTCAGCGGCAAGCAAACCCGCACGTGTTGCTTTGATGTTCCTGACAAGAAACCAATCTAGTGATTGTTTATATATCCGATTGCATAGCCAAAAAATATCAAGAAACCGGTCAATCGAGAAATAGAACATGACCACCATCTCTGGTCCTGGGTCTTGAATTCTTCTGATTTGGTCTTGAAAGCTCACTGCAGCTCATGCCCAGACCTGATATATATATATATATGTACATGGATTCAAGATCTGCTGAGAGTCTTTTCAACCAGAGCTTCTGCAAGTGCTGGTGATGATGACTTGTTCCGTGTGCCTGCAAGAACATGCTTTTGTGCAGGCATTCTGAAATGGAGTTTTGTGAATTTGTTCGGATTCTGTGAGATTGTACTAGGGAATCTATTGTCTGCTCTACACCAAGCTCTTTGGTGGTGATGACAATGGTGGTTGTGGTAGTGATGCTAGTGCTGCTACTAAGACTGCTACTCCTACTCCGACGACGACGACGACGATGACGACGACGATGGCTGCTGCTGCTGCTGCTCCTACTACTACTACTTACTACTACTACTACTACTACTACTACTACTACTACTACTACTACTA